GCTCAATTTCTAATAGTCGATAGACTAAAATAGGGCAATACAAAATTTTGGGACTAAATTGGACATTTATTGATAGTCGGGGGACTATTTTGAGCTTTTTACTCTTTTATTTTTTGTTCTTTTTTTCATGTGACAATGTTATACAATTGCTTTGAGTTGTGCTCTTTTCATTCTATTGATAAAATTTGATTTGCGGTAAAAAAGTGGCATAAAAAAAGCTTTAACGTGTTAGACTGGTATTTTGATTTCATTTTATTTTTTGAACTTAATAAGTTTTTTGGCGGTGTATCTCTGTGGATATGAATTTGTAATGGATACAAATAACTTTGAACCCAGTGATGTATCTGTGCTTCTTATATATTCTCACATTAGTGCTTATATAAAACATGATATCATGCCTAAGAGGCATGTTTCGCATATGTTTTTGTGTTCATTGCTTAAATTCTTGTCGATTTTTATATTCCTCCACTTGCACGGGGATTTCTCTGATTTCAGGAAGGATATACGATGGCTGTTTTCTGGAATGTTATTATACCTTTCACTTCTTGAACTGTTTTCTTACGGAATTTCTTGTTGTTGCATTGGCAGTTTTTAAAACTTGTTTCTTTTATACAGGATATCTCTGTGGTTTTAAGCACCCAAGAACATCAAGAACTAATGGAAAAAGTGGCTGCCAAGTGTTCTTCTAATTTTTCTCTTCTTCCTGCTGTTACCAGTGGACCTGCAAATACAGATTCACTTGAAGCTGCTGGGAATGACCGGCTTCATCTGATTTCTAAGTTGATAGAAGAAATGAGTGATTCAAAAAAGTTTGAAGGTTATCTGAATATGATGTATTTATTTGTTCTTGATATCTTTCAATCACCACTTTTTAGTGTTATTCTGTAGTATTTATGTGATATTTTTAACTAATCATAGAGAAAATGTCAGAAACGTTAATTTTGGTTGAAGGGCATAGTTGTATATGGCTGTTGTTGAATGTACTACTTATCATGTTAAATGTCATAATCATATTGGTTAAGAGAAAATAATCAAAATGGTTCCTTGACTCTTTATGAAAGGCTAAAATAGTTCCCAACGATATTAAATGATCATTTTGGCCCATCAACTCCTTATAGAGGAATCAAAATAGTATCACTATGGGATTATTTTGATTCCTTTTTAAGTACTTGTGGGACTAAATTAGTCTTTTAATATAGTTGGAGACTATTTTGGCCATTCACAAAGAGTCAAGCGACCATTTTGACCCTTTTCTTTATTGGTTAATTATGATTCATTGGATTCATTATTTATGCTATTACAATTGATTGGCAGCATTAATGGCTTTTTTGGCGTATTCTATCAAAAGAATAAAAATATTTAGTGTTTTGATTTCGGCTGATGTATGGCAAAGGATCATTGAAGAAGTATTGATATAATTTATTAATTGGAAAATTTATTTCTCCATTTATAAATACTTATAAGGAAAGGTTATAAGTACATTTGCATTTCATACTTGTAATTATAATTAAATTGGTGTAGTTAATTAATCTTTTTTCTTTTACGGTTACTGGCATCCTTGACTTTCAAGGGTGCAATTGACAAAGCTAGAGGGGACAGTATATTTGTGTTTCTTATGTTCAATTACCTCTCTTGTTGTACTGCACTTTAGGGAAGAGATTTCAATTCCTTGTGGACCTTGTGCCCTTTTTTTTGTTTTTCTTTGGTAGCTCTGATGTGTAAATTGAGATGAGGATTCACAAAGAAACGTAATATTCTCTCAACATTGATCTGTATCTTATTTCCGGTTTTCTTATAAGCTTATTTAGCACAGTTTGCAGCTGAAATTTGAAATATAAAAAGTAAAACTTGTTTGAAGATTTAGTGCTATATTTATATGCTACTTAATGTTTAATGTTTAATGTTTTTTTTTTACTTCATTATTTTCTTATGAAGGATTTCCATGATGCCATTTTTTAAAAAGAAAATTCTATCATATGAATTTCATACCTTTCTGCTTAATAGACATTTTATTAAATCTATGTAAAAACTTCTTTATTCTGTAGGTGACGATCCTGCTTTAATTCTGTATACAAGTGGGACAACGGGGAAGCCCAAAGGTGTTGTTCACACACACAAGGGTATAATTTCACAGGTACGTAGATGTAAACTTCACGTTATCATTTCCTTTAAATACCGGCCATTTTCTCTTGTAATTCAGAACTTCGATACTTTTATCATCCATCTAGAGTGTAAAACTTTTATTTATGTAATTTTTAAGCTTGGTTGTTTTATTCTAAATTCATAAGCACAAAGTTATATTTAATATTTTTGGTTGGTCATAACAAACCTAAGCTTCATGTTATAATAATGGTCAAAGGTTTTTCTTAGGTTCAATTTGGGACGGCTTTTTTACTGCTTCTTAAAGCAGCTTTCTAGTACAAAATTTAAAAAATTTATACAAAAAAATTGCTTTAAGCAACAGTAAGAAAGCCGTCCCAAACAATGCCTTAGTTCAATCAGTTTGTGTGTGTTAACAGAACAAATTTTGATTTTTGTGATTGTTGGACTACAGCTTTTTCTTGACACTATAGCAGTGCTAGGTATTTGAAGTATTCATAGTTAAAAGAGTTAAATTTGAGGTTGATGTCCATGCTGCCATGGCATACTCGAATGTTCTGTTTTTATTTTATTATTTTTATGGGTGTCAGACTTAATTACTTTTTCCAGTGTAAATTCAAGAATAGTTGAAGAGTTCTGAATTCTACGCACTCGTTGTTTTAAAATTGTTTTAGTTCTAGGAAAACCCTGGGATGTTGGCTACCTGCAAAGAGTACTTTGCAATTGTCACAAGGCTTTTATTTGGGCATGCAACGATGCTGTACCAAATGAACTGGTTTAGTTTGGAAATGACCAACTTTTCATAGCCAATCAAAAGTAGTCAAATTTAGCTATCAAGTAACTGAATTGAACAAGTTGTTGATGCTTTTTTAGGCCTATTTCTATTTATTGACTAATTTTCTTAGTTTTACTTTATTTATTTTATTATGTTCAATTTTCTTCTTTTTACTAGTATTAGGTTTGAATTTGATTTCAGGATGGGATTACATTTGATTTTGAATTTAAAAAGGCCTTATCCTCGTAACAATATTTTTATAAATTGATAATGATGACTTATAATTAAGACTATTTTAATGAATGATATTTTTTTACGTGGCAAAAAAAATCTCCTTTTTTTTATCCAACTTGTGTATATCGATCGCTCCATGTTGTATACATGATGTTTCTCTTGTCTCTCTCTCCATCAATTTCGGTGTTAAAGGCAAGGTCCACATATATTAAAGGATTATATTTTATTTTGAATTTAAAATGAAGCCTTATCCTTGTAACAATATTTTTATAAATAGAGATTGATGACTTATAATTTAGACTATTTTAATGAATGATATTTTTTGAAAGCCCAATTTTCAAAACCCGTACACACTCTCCCCTGTGACATCTTGCTTGAGTCAATCCTGCATGCTACTCCTCACGCCCACCTCTTGTATGCACTTTGCCTATATCCCATGGCAACCAAGATGCACCTTCATGCATCCTCACAGGCATCCTGCTCCCTTTCATTTTGGACCCACATCCTACACCCCATAGCCGATCTCTTTCATTCTTCCCCATTTATGTTCGTTTTTGTGCATACATGATGATATACCTCTTATTAATGATGAAATTTATGATGAAGATGTTTAGGATGATATACCTCTTTTTGATGATGAGCTATAGCTTAAGGATAATTAATTACCAGTACTTGAGTTTGCTGTTGTGCCTGAGGTTGATGAATTATTAGAGGTTAAGCAGGGCACATATCTGATGAAGTGCTTGATGTTGACAATGTTGTTTAGCTTGAAATAGTATTCCCTGAAGATTTAGTTGAGATTATATTTCCAAATTCACTTTCCACCACGTTAAAATAGTTACATTATTTCAAATAATTATAATTTTGTGTAGTCACTCTAATCCATTTTTAGTCCACAGCAAAAATATTTACATGTATTTGAAGTTTGGAGCCGCCCAACACCCAATTCTTCAAATATTTACTTTATTTGGGATCCCCCCTGCTATTCTGTATACTGCAGGACATTTGATACATCAGATGATCCGGTTATGCTGCTTCCCCCTCTATGGGCCAATTGAATTGGTGCAATTCATAAAACTAGTTTGGCCCAAAAAAGATTTGAAGCTCATAAATCAATCAAAATGAGTTGATTCGGGTTGCAAGGAGCTGACTAGTTTTCAAGCCTTTTTACCAATTTCTATTTATTAGGTATAATTATCTTCTTTTTAGATTATATTAGATTTGAATTTGATTTAAAGATATGTTTATATTTTATTTTGAATTTAAAATGTAATCATATTCTTGTAACTCTATTTTTATAAGTAGAAATTTATGGATTGTAATTGAACGTGTTATATTAAATTATTGATTAATGAAATTATTTTTGAGGCTAATCGGGTTTCTCACTCTTTATTCAAATTATTTTTGCGGATCACTCCAAATTATGTATGTAAAGTTCCTTCTCCCTTTATCATGTATTGGGAATGAACTCTTGGTTGTTGCCTGGGCATGATGTGTTGTGCAACTTAGTTCCTGTTCAGATTAAGTAGTTGCCTCATGAATTTAGAAAGTTAGGCCAGGGTCTCTTACATTTATTAGTAAGGAGTCTTAGATGGTTTGCATATGTACAATAGAGTGTTGAATATGTACTAATAAATTTGGGTTTTATAGAGTTAATGTTGGAAGGCTTTGGAAGGAAAAAGGGTATATACTTTAGTTTACATTATTAAAAATTTGGTAAAAGATTTGTGTGTAAGAGAGTCATCTCCCCATATCGCACACAATAAAAGCCAATGAAGAATGAGGAATCACCAACCACAAATCATTCGTATGAGGCTAGTGATGATGATGAGGTCAGGGTACTTAACCAACCTAAACATTTTTCTCATGAAATGCAGCTATTATTTATTTGCACCGCATTTGAAAACCAACTTGAAACTCAATTGAGGACGAGAAGTCGAGAAGTCTAACTATATGTAGCTTCAATCATGATGTAAAAGGCGAAAACTTTCGTTCTTCATATACTTGTTTCTTTCAAGACTATATGCACTGGAAAATTATTCGTTAAAATTGAATTTAGTAAGAATAATATTTTCGTTGCTTATTACTACTTGATTTGTGAGCCTGCAATAAACTTATTACAGTGTTTGGCATTTTCTGCAGGTCCAGATTCTAACAGAAGCATGGGAATATACTTGCACTGACCAAGTTCTTCATTGCTTGCCGTTGCATCATATCCAATCTTGAAAGTCTGTTAAGATATAGGATATTTTATACTGTATGATTTGTATAATCCAAACATTTCAATGTTATATACCACGTAAATCTTATTTTAAATGCTTAATTTTCTACATCCAGTTTTATTATTTCCCCCTTTTCCAATGGGAACCTTAACCTGTATGTCACATGTTCATGGGCTTTTCAATGGTTTGCTTGCCCCCCTTTATGCTGGAGCTGTGGTAATGTTTTCTTATGTCTTATATTTCTCTACTCCACAATTTACTATCTTGGAAACTAGCCGTTGCTACTTTGATATATTTGAGAATGTTGTTTAATAGTAGGATCTTTTCTAGCATTTCTTTTTTCTTTGTCTTGCCCCTGACACGTGTGCTTATTTCTTTCTTCTCAAAGGCCTCACTTTTTGCACTAGTTGTAGCGCAAAATATACCTGCACTGAGGGCTGTGCTGTGTTACACTAGCTTTTTTTTTTCAAACCTTCAACAATTTGATTCTTAATAACTCTTTGTGGTTTCTTTTTTTGAAGGTTGAATTTATGCCAAAATTTAGTGTAAGAGGTGTTTGGCAGAGATGGAGAGAATCGTATCCTGATAATGGAAGTAAAGTTGATGATGCTATTACCTTGTTTACTGGGGTATGACATTGTACTCTAATGAAGACTTCTATTACAGTCTCTGGTTCTGCTTATTTTTACTTATTTAGCTAGGATGGTTTCTGTTGTGTCAAAAAAGCTAACGCCCAACATGTAAGAAGTAGAAATGGAAGCATACATCTATGAAGAGCATAATACCTTTGTTGCTTCTTGCATGTTATCTTCCTACTTAGCCAATTGAATTAGGTGTGATTTACTATGGAGGAGAGGAAGAAAAAGGTTTATAAGTGAAATGGTTATTTTTCATGTAGTTAAAGCATTAATTTACATAGTTCCAAGCCAAAATTTTAGTTTTATATCCAATGGTCATACCGGCGAATTTCCTTTTGGCTTTCTATATTCTATTATCAGGTTTTGAAGCATTTATTTTTCCTATTTGGAGGTGAAAATAATATTTTAAATAAAAAAAATAGTATGATGAGCGGTTTTGTGCCTACTATCAATGAAGTCAATTGAGCATCATATTATGAGGCTGAATGTTTTTATTACTTATTCTATAGATAAAGGCTGGTTTTTCTTCTGGGTGCTAATGAATGTTCGAATTAATTCTTGGATTATTAGGTTCCAACAATCTACACTCGGCTGCTACAGGGCTATGAGACGATGGATTTAGATCTTAGAGCTGCTTCTGCTTCAGCTGCACGTCAACTACGTCTTATGGTAATGGGTTCTAGGCATCTTTTCATCACTTGTACAAGACATTTAATTATTGAAAATAGTTTGGCATGCGAAGCTATTTGTATTTCTATGTGGTATATCACAGAATGTCCCTTGTTCTTGTCAGGTTTTTGGAGATGTTTCTAGAAAATCTTTTGTTGTTAGGCTCTCCAGTAAAATTCCCAAGTTAACATTTAAATTTTTTGTTTAGTAAACCTATTTGTATTTTTCAATATCTCCTTTTTTTGCTTAATTCACAGAACTTAATGCTAATTTTTCAAGTTCTCTCTCTCCCTCCCTCCACCTATTATTTTGATGCATCCGTTGTGCTTTTCCTTATATCATCAATTTTAATGTTTGAGCTTCTTAAAAATTCCTATTAGCCATCTATGTCATCATTTATGCTGAAAGAATAACCTCATTATTGAGAAACATATTCATAGAACTATACTTTGTGGAAACGGGCAACAATCCAAGGATTCATAGTGGCCATTCAAGGTAGTAATCAAAGGTATGCACCATAGAAATCCTAGGGATCTAGGTTTCCATTTATAAAATTGACACATGAAATATTGCAACAACAACAACAACAATATCAAACCTTTATCCCACTACATGGGGTCGGCCAAATGAATCCTATTAATAGTCAAATTCTTATTCAAATCTAATAAAAAATGTCATTTCTAATACTTTTTAACCAAGTCTTTTTAAGTCTATCTATACCTTTCTTATGATAGACCGAATCTAATACAACTACTTTTCTAACCGGGCCATTTGATGGTCAACGTTTTATGTGACCAAACCATCTAAGGTGACTCTCTCTAATCTTATCTACCATTGGAGCTACTCAACTTTTTCACATTCCCATTTCACATTGTCTCTAAGAGTGAAGCTACTCATCCACCTAAGCATCCTCATCTCTAAAACACTTAATTTAATTTTATGCTTCTCTTTTAATGTCCAACATTTTATGTCATAAAGCATCGCAGGTCTTACCACCCTCATATAGAATTTTCCCGAAAGTTTGAGGGGTACTTTTCTATCACATACTAGGCCCGATGCATTCCTCCACTTCAATCATTTAAATTGAATTCTACTAATAATATCCCCAATCATCATCACTTTGAATAATAGATTCAAGATATTTAAAACGTGTACTATTTTTAATGATTTTATCGGCCAATGTTACAATCCCCCCAGTAGATATATTACTACTAAAATTACACTCAATGTATTAAATTTTAGATTTACTCAATCGAGAACTTTAGACTCTAAGGTTGACTTTCATAATTCAAACTTTCCTTCTACTCCTATTGTCTTTTCAACAAGAAGAATATCATCAACAAAAAGCATACACTATGGTACATCCTCTTGCAAATGTTTGGTAAGAATATCCATGAATAAAGCCAAAAGATATGGGCTTAAAGTTAATCCTTGATGTAATCCAAGTGAGGATCTGTGGGAGGCTCACTTGGATCACACTGTTAAATCTCAGTTGTCTCTTAGCCCTTTATCCCATGACTAGCTTAGGGATCTATGGGAGGCTCTCCTAGATCACGCCGATCTCCTTCCATATTTAAGTAGCTAATTTAGGAAGGATTATATTAGTATTTAGTACAATTATGTATTATTCTTTAATTATTTGTTACCTTATTAAGATATCTTGTATAGATCTATAAATAGAGATATTTTTTGTGTAATAAAACTAAGCTTTTTCCCTCTCCAATTCTCTGAATTTAACATGATATCAGAGCCTTCATTGCCTTGGCCAGAATTCTGATTTTTTTTTTTTAAACTATTGGACTTTCTGAAGGGAAGGCCCCACCTTCTCTTCAGAAAGGAAAGGGAGTGGGTTCCTGGTTTGATCATTCCTACATACGTTCAATTGAGAGGAGGGAGAGTGCTTCATTCTGTGGTCTCTGTGTTCGATTGAGAGATACGAACGGATTGTGCTTCTCGTCTGGAGAATTCGAGCGAGAACCCCGTGGTCTTTACGTTCAATTGAGAGATTCGAACGTCTCGTGAACCACTCTCGCATGCGACCAAACAGTACAAGAAAGGCGTGTAGCCATAAAATTCTGCGCTTGTGTCTAGGGTGGAACCAAGTGGGATCGTGCGTCCCTGAAGCTTGTAGCACGCGGTAGCCTCCTCTCGCATGTGTAGCGGCGGAACTGAGAGGAGCCAAGCAAGAACTTGCATCTGGATGAGAGATCATGCGTCTGGACCAAGCGGGTGTGTGCATCTGGACAGCTTTTGTCTCGTTCCTCTAGCCCCGAAATTTCTCACGTCCTCCACATCTGCGTCAAATCCTGCCGACATGCACTTTGCCACATGTTCCCACCACCGGCCTTCATTATCAAAATTCTGAGGATTACAAGTTCTCTAGGGTTGAATTTTGAGGAATACGAGTTCCCACAACTGAGAAATACTAGTCCTTCTACCGGGCTTTATTGCTAGAATTATGAGAAATATAGGTTCCCGCCACAGGCTTTCATTGTCAGAATTATGAGGACCTTCATGCATCCAAGACCGAGGAGAGACGAGTTGGAGAGCTCCTCTTACATGCGACGTCCAGAGTCGACCGAGCAGAAGTGTGCGCAGGACCTCCTCCTGCATATATCTGGAAAGAGCCGAGAGTTCCCTCTCATGTGGGGGCATGGACAAGCAATAGTGCAAGACTTGTTCTCCCTCCTACGATTAGACTAGAGGGATCGGAGGCCTTGCGTGCACCTGTACTGGTTGATCGAACAAGAGTCTGTTCAGGCGGAGTCGGATGACCTGGGTAGGAAGAGATCTGTGTACTGAGTGCCAAGTCGCTTGAGACGTGTTTTTGCTTATGTTTTGAAGCTTTCCGCAACCCTAAAAATATTATTTTTCCTTTTTTACTGTCGTGCATTTATTGCCGACCTTCCATTGAGAATTGACAGGGAGACAGACCCGAAGGATAATTAATCCACTTTCCTTGCAGTCCCACCTCTGGTATTTATTGTCATTTCCGATATCTTGAGGGCTATTGTTCCACGCAGCCTTCATTGCTTCCCTGCACCTTGCAGTCTTGATTGAGATAGGCTTCAACGCTATCCTTTGCGCAACAATGTTTAAAGCTAATTCCTCCCAAAGTGCTGTTGACCAAAAGTACTCTATGATGCACCAAAGGACTTGATAACTCTTTTTTTTTTGGACTAATTATCAAGTTGGGAATGACATATATATATTTCCAATCTTGAGGGGGAATGTTAAAAATCTCAATCATCCATTGGCCCTTGATCCCACAACCAGCATGAGGATCCACGAGAGGCTCACATGGATCATGTTATTAAATCTCAGCTGTCCCTTAGCCCCTGATCCCACGGCCAGCATGTGGATCCATGGGGGAGGCTCACCTGGATCACGCCGATCTCTTTGCCTATTTGGGAGGCTGATTCAGGAAGGGTTATATTAGTACAATTATGCATTATTCTCTAAATATTTGTTTCCTTGTTACAATATCTTATATAGATCTATAAATAAGAATAGTTTTGTGTAATAAAACTAAACATTTCCCCTCCCAAATTCTCTGAATTTAACAATATTTGTAACCCCTTTAGTCTTTTTCTCTATTACTAAGATATGTGGGCCTTCTCGGATTCTCAACATTTTCGTGCAACATGATTTGTGTCATTTAATGTTGTTTATATTAGAATTAATTAGCTATTCCTTGTGAAAGGGAAATATAATTATGAAAGTAACATCTTTCCCATCTTTCTCAAATTGATAAGCACCTAATTTAGAGTTACTCTCAAACTCCCTCCTTCATAAATACAGGATTATCCATGAATCCTCTTGTATTAATATATCAATAAAATAGAATGGTTGAACAAAAAACTTGACATTTTCTTAATATTATTAGGACATTGTTAAATAGTGTCCCTAAGTACCTTTGGGGAGAAGCCTATCCTAACACTTGTATTCTAAGTAGATAGGATTCCTCGTAGAATCATAGGATACAAAACTTCTATGGCAGTTCTCTTGAACTTCCACCCGTATTTCAACTAATCTGGGAACATTTCCCTTAAACATTTTGATTGTTTCCTTATGCATATGCATACTCACAATAGTTACATTTGATTTAAGAGCTTTAAAATGTGTGTTTGTTTGCTACTCAAACACTAAAAAGAGATATCAGCTTTGTTTGGGATGGCTTTTTTATTGCTTCTTAAAGCAGCTTTCTAATACAAAAGTTTTAATTTTTGTACTAAAAAACCGCTTTAAAAAGCAGCTACAAAGCCGTCCCAAACAAAGCCATAATGTTATCACTTGACTGTTTTAAAATTTTCTATTTTCATGGATACCACTTCTCATAAAAATGAACCCTTGTTTTCAGCCTCGTTTCTTCTGAGTGAGACCAGCACATGAAGAAAATGAACTTTTTTTTTTAAATCTTGATAATATTCTCATCATCAATCATTAAATTTTCCAGCTACTACTTCAGAAAGCATCCATACTCAAGAAAGGATAGCTAAATTGAGTACCTGTACTCTAGTCCGTTTCATATAGTGGGTGAACTTGTAGGGATGGGCTGCCATGTTCCTGAAAAAAATATCTGAATCTGCATCCCTACGCTCACCAATTACAATTGTTTTATAGTTCTTCCTGTCTCATTTGGTTCTGATAGGAAACACTTGGAGATCTCAAGTATTTTTTATCAATCTTCGGAAAACAGCGAGAATTCTCCACAAAAGTCCGCACAAAATCACAAAAACAGTAAATAATTTGTATTTTTTTTATAAAAGGGAAACGGAAAATAGCAAGATACAATTGAT